GAGCATAATTTAAGAAAACGGTGGCATAATTTGGAAAAAAAAGCATAATGTTAGCATAATTTGGCCAAAAAAAAAGCAATACTACTAGCATAATATGCCACTTTTACTAGCATAATCTATAAATGCCTACTCGCGGGGGTACTAGACCTCAACTTGACAACAAAACTTCTTGTAAAACCCGGGGTCCCTTCAGGTCTAGTACCCCCGCGAGTCTTGGTTGCCAAGATGACGAGGTTACTAAGCCGATTTCAACGGTCGTTATGTCGTTTTTAAAATGACGCGAATGTCTACCATGTTTTAGCGTTTCACTGAGGACACGAAGAGGCGCCTGGCGTCGATCGCAGGGCTGAGATTGAGTGGCTAGCGAATCGAAATGACTGTGACTTTCCCGTCTAGGATTTGAATTCTGCTTCTTCAGAGATTACTCTGTGCAGTAGTTCGAACCAAAAAGCGAATTATATGGAAGCAAGCTTTTAGTTATTTATTCATGAATTCGTGGTAATCAATGGAGATTAGGTAAATAGCAAAATTCTTCTCTGAATGTGTCCCCTTTCTCGAGAGGAAAAATTATATTCATTCCCTGAGATACTTTTAATTTATTAAGGTCATCAGGAAAGTCCAGCTGTATTCTGCCCATCGACGTCTCCTTAAAAAAATTAAATAAAGTCAAGCTCGAGTGGCAAGGATTGTTTGCATTGAGTCAACCCGGTTGGAGTCTGCAAGATGATACTGGATTTCTGCATTTTATCTTTTTACTTATATTCTTAGTTTCTAACTTCCTGTTCGTATAATGGTGATAGCTGTAGTATAATTTGGATATATCAACAAAGTTGAAATGGTAAATTTGCCACCGTAACGATTACAAAAGCTGACGTTTATAAGCATAGCTGTAGTATGTTTCTGAATAATAAAACTATGCATCACTTTTGAAGGTGAAGAAGATATATTTTCTTTGAAAGTTAAAGCTTTTCTTTTTTTCTTTATTATATTATATTCTTATTAGTCATAAGTGGAGGTCGAATTAACAGTGGAAGAACAAAAAAGTTATATGTAATTACAGAAACATTGAACAGATGTTCATTAGATTTCTTAAGTTCAAATTGTTTTGCTCTCACCTAACAGTCACTTCGATATTTCCAACTAATAGATTCAAAATGTTGGGATATGTCCTGACTATTTATGTTACGGCAAGAAGTTCGAATTTTCGTATCAAGAGAAAGTGACATAAACCTCAAGCGCAATCATTTGTAAAGGAATCATCTCCTGTATCAAGAGGAGAAAAATGACTTATTCTCTCTTAAAAAGTAAAAAAAATTTATTCATGAATGGTCATCTGCAAAAGTCCAGCTATCGATGGAAGCTACCGATAGAAGCTAACACCAGAATTGTTTGCGTGATTTCGAGTTCACAAATTGTAAATTATATCATTGACATGATGTTAACGGTCATTCACAAAGAACATGTTTGTTGCTGAAATTAGTTTGCTTTCATGATTTCACCGCTTTTATGGTAATTTTTGCAAACGTTTGACAGCTAATAAAAAATAAAGCCGAATTTAGGGTTAGATAGCCATTATCCTAGTCTACGATCCCGGACAACGTTTTCATCATTTTCAATATTTTTTCCACTACCATCTCATAAGATAATCACATTAGGGACCTTAAGAAGTCAAGACGGCAAAAATGAAGAACACTTTGATAAGAAAATAAATTAAATTAAATTTTTCTCACGTCCTTGTTGTCGTCGCTGTCGTGGTTGCTTCAGATTGTATTCTGCCAATTAACGTCTGCCGAGAAGATTTCGTGTAAATTGTCATTTTCAATTTTAAGAGACAAAATAAAAAATGAAAGTTAAGCTCGAGTACAAGGAATGCTCGAGTCATTCACTCAAGTTTGAATCTCCGAGATAATACTTTTCTAACAATTTCATGTTTGCTTAATAATGATAGCTGTTGAACGTTGAAAAAGAAGAATGAATGAAATGATACATCCCTTCCGAAGGTGTACCTTTTCACAAGAGAATAAAATATATTTCCTCTGAAAAGGTGAGAGACGTTTTTTTCTTTTTTTTTTCTTTTTTTCATTATTCTTATAAGTCGTGAGGGAAATTGGAACTCGCAGCGTAAGACCAATTAAAGTAATTTACGTTGGCAAAGTTTCACAGCCTTCCTCTAAATTAATACTTACCTGCCGTATTCACTCATTTGCAATTGTAATAATAATAATAATAATAAAAAGTTAAGTTCTGTTACCTAAGTTTACCATCAAGCAGCGGCTCTAACTGTCAAGCAACAATATATATGCCACAGGAAAGGAATTTAGGTACATTTGTTGGCAGGGAGATTTTTTTCTCCCCTTGTACGTGGGTCCTCCTTTGTTTTTTAATTACTCACTCGCTGTTTAACCATAGCTGATGTGCGTCAACCGATGAGTTATGGTAATGGTGGGACTGAGTAGAGTCCAATTCGGTCTGCAAATATACGAGTGATAACAAAATCGGA